GTGTGTGTGTGTGTCAGCGTCTCTGCAGTACGGTGCTGGGGGGTCGGCCCCCTCTCGGCCCGACTGCTGCTGAATGCAGAGCAGGCAGCATCAGGCCCAGGCAAATGACTACAAGGCCTCCTCAGTGACTGCAGCACAGGCTGCACCTGGGGATCGGCCCGGCGCAGCAGCACAGCCGCAGCCAGACCCGGTCCAAACAGCAGCCCTGCAGGAAGCGCGCATGTGCCGGCCAGGTACAGTCCATCACTGGATGACGGTGAGCAGGATCGAATCAAACGCAGCAAGGATCTGGGCCTTTTCATTGTTCGTGTTTTAAAGCAGGGAGCTCCTCTTGCTGCAGCGTTGTAACGTGTAGCTTTAATGACGTGAGATAGCGCAGATCAATTCCTCTGATTTACTCTTAACGAATGCACACTGGCCAAACATTAAACGCTCTCACCAACACCTAAACACACACGTGTACACGGTTCTGCTGCTCCAGTCCACCAGCAGACCACAGCCAGATTCTCAGCACCATTTTAACATAAACCAAGTATTACTAATCAATACTAATTATTAGAAATACATATTATATTCCTGTGTGTAAAGCCTCCTCCCAATACAAATAAACAACACAAACACGTGCAACTGCCCTCATACAAAAATACACAAAAGAGGAAATCTTTAAACCGAATTACCAAAAATAAAAACAACAGACACAAACTAAACAGACGTCCAGTGCTGACAGATGAAGATCCGTCAGGATTCAGCCTCTGATGGCTGTTGGGCCTGTTGGGCCTGCTGACCAGGCTGAGCTCGGTTCTGTTGGCAGGAGGTGGCAGACGGCAGACGTCCTGGGCCTGGCTTTATACCAACTGGTTCTGATGTAAACCTAAAACATGTGAAGTCATCTCCTCCCTGTAAGGACACGGTGCACTTTGTTTAAAATATCAGCGTGTTGTTCATGTGATCACTGCTCGCTCCACTTTGGCCAATGAAACGAGCTTTCCTCGACGTACCCACGAATTCATGTTAACACGAGACCTCTAATATATTTCAGGATATACTGAAGCTCAATGCCAGGACTGGGCATTTAGCAGCAAATCATTTCAGGTGGGAGCATCTTAGCAGCGAGCTTCTGGTGTCCAGCAGAGCCAGGAGGTATTTATGATTAGATTATTACAGAACAAACTCATGTTTACATTAGAAAACTATTTATGACTTGAGAAATGAGAAAATGTGCCCAACCCTTTGAAATAAATGAAATTGTTCCCAAAGCAAACTGAAGACAGTCTGCTGTGAACTGGCCTATTTCATGAGCACAGGTTCTGTCCAACCTAATGGGCCTGTTCCAGTAGAACCACAGAGCTGTGAGGGTGAACACTGGACCGGTTCTTCTCAGCAGCAGTTTGTTCAAACACCATAAAGCCACTACATCACACAGCTACACTGCACATCCTGACTGAATGCATTTTTCATCATAATTTTCCATTCTTTTCTAATGGACCTGATTCCTAAAGTGGTTCTTTGTTGGTCTGCCCTGCAACAACTCAGAAGGCCCGGTCCAGTGAGACTCGCAGAGGGCCTGTCTGACGGGTCCTGCACACCACGCTACACCGTCTAAACTGAAGAAACGCGCTCAATTATTCATGGCAGAGACAGAAAAAGCTGTATTTCACCAAGTTTTTTGTTTAAAGTCCAAGTGTTGATCATATTTTTTGTCATTAAATATTAAAATGCTGAAGGTTGGTCATTGAGATGAGGGCTGAGCTTTCTTGCTTTGAGCTGTCAGCTAGTGTGCATATAGATCCGTGCACACACACACACACACACACACACACACACTGCACTTAAAGTGTGTGTACAGAGGCTGAGGGGAATGGACGGTGCGTCAGTAGGATGCGTGCACTGAGACGTGAATAAGGACCATTTGCTCATGGATTCATAGGCTTCCGTCATCCATTATTTAGCACGGAGAGGAGCGGTGGATTGGTGGCTGGCTGATTGTTCTGACAGCGTTTACATGGCTGATGGCTACAGATGGGATGATTTTTACAGCTCAAGATAAACACTTTGTTTTGACAGAGCACAACATTTTCTGTGAAGATAACGAGTGAAAAGGTGGCAGCTTCTTAAAGATCCATTGTTCCAACAGCACGCTCAAACTTGTAGCCAAAAAGTCCAAATAAACAAATTCATCCAAATGTGAAAACCAGCGACATGCAGCCCGCGCCTGAAACCATGCTAAGCTAATCCATTTATGGACAATTAAGAGATTGCTATAGATTTCAACATGGCCGATTTCGCCTCAGCGGACAAATGTGAAACGTCAACAAAAAGCAAAGCGTCGGCTGGCCAGCGTTTGCCCTCCATCCAAAAACAAAATGACATTAGCTCTTGTCTATTGAGTTTGCTAAATGCCCCACATAAAGTGAATTTGCCCCCCAGGGCTGGGAAACAATCACGCAGGCGAGCGCTCCATTTAAGTGATTTGAATGATCGGAGCGCCGCAGTGCTTCCTATCAGCCACAGAAATGGGTCAATACACTGAGACTAAGTGACACGGCTGGCAGCCGGCGCTCTGGTGGAGGACCAGGCCCAGCAAGAGGAGCTGGCTGTCATTGGGTCAGACAGACATGGAAACACACACACTGCAGAAAGGCCTGGCTGGCTGCTCACCAGGCCTCAGAGGACACACACCTCAGCTCATCTCACCACAAACACAGAGCTGTCATCTGGCCAGGACAGACTTCAGCCGGCGGATCATCATCGTCGACAAAACACTGATCGTGTGAGTCTCGTCTTTAGCTAGCACATACTGGGTGTAATTCAAAGTTCCAGTTACGTTTACCTGGACTTCCACTTCTCAGACATGAAACAGTTCCTGCAGTAAAGACTTGAGGACTTACTTTCAGCGTTGATTGACATCGTGTCTTTCTCCCAGGACACAACAGTGATGTAGGCCTCCACTGAGGCAGGGATAATGCACTTGAAGACCGCCACATTGCCTCTCATAGCTTTTTGGTCCTCCACCCGGACAGTGTAGGGCTCTCGTAGGACTAGGAGGAGGGACAGAGAAATGTGTTGCATGGAAAACAGAAAATCCAGACATAAGATGAGCAGCTGTATGATGAACTGTTTAGGCTGCAGCAGGTGTTAGTCATGAGCAAAGACACTGACCAGCCTTAATGTGGACATCCTGGCTCCTGATTCTCCCTGAGGGGTTCTCCGCTGTGCAATAGTAGGTGTTGTCGTGGATGAGTTTGCTGAAGCTGGAAGGGGGGATGTGGAAGATCTGAAGGGTGCCATTGGGGTGCACGTGGCGAATCCCTGGCACATCATAGATCTCCTCGCCGGTGGCCAGGTACCAGCGCAGTGAGACAGGGGGCACGCCTGCGGCGGGACAGGGCACCGATGTCCCTGTGGTGCTGGCAAACACTACCTCTTGCACAGATGCATTGACAAAATATAAGCTGGAACGTAGATCTTCACAGAAAACTGCAGGGAAAGAAATGAGAAGACAGAAAGCGTGTTAGACGAGTAATCAGAAAGTCATTCCTGTCAAACCCTGAACATCACATGAAATAATTACTGTTGGTAAATCCCAGCCAGTCCATGAGACAGAACCGGGCTCTCCTGCATCTCTGTTAGGCTGCGTTGATCCCAGGTTGGTTGTCTGGATGGAGACCCTGCAGCAGGACCCGGGTCCGTCCACATGACACCAGCACCACACACTAAATGTGAAACTACTCTTTTCATCATCCATTCATTGCTGAACTCATTTTTCAAGCAAAAATTGTGAAAAATTGCCAAAAATTCTCTGGGTCCGACTTTTTACAGACAAAAATCATCATAAGACATTTTATGTTCATCAGCTGCAGGAAACTCACAATTTAAAGTTAAAAATCTACAACCAACATGAATGAAGGCCTCAGAGAAGCAGTGAGGTCCTAGAGGCCTTTTTTGATCAGCGAGTAAAGGAAGACTTCATCACTGTTTAAGCAGAAACACTATTCTGGTTTCAGTTTGCTTGTTTTGTCAGGATTTTTGTTCATCCATACAGTCCGCTTTCTACCAAATTAAAAGCTTCCACAGCTTCTGTTGCATGTACAGGATTTAACTCTGAATCTAAATAAGTCATTTATCATTGTAACAGTTATAAAGCTGCTGCAGTGTCAAACACTCACTGAGAATCAGTTTCCATAAATATACTTTGGATATTAGAAACCAGCACATCCCTAAAAGCTGGAATGCAGTCGCTCTGGTGCTCATTGAACAGTGTGCAGCAGAAGATGTTTCCAAGTCATCTTAACTAATGAAGCAAGTCAATGTAATGTGATGCACTCCCCCTGTAGTAAGTTACTGCTCTGGATAAAAACTGACAGTGCAACTCTGTGCTGTAATGGACAGCCCACACTGTCGGCACGCCGCCAGGAGCCATGTACACTGGCTGGGTACCAAGCCGGGGAGGAGGAACTGTTGAATACACCCAGTGCAACATAAAGTCATACAGGGAGATAGATGCAGATGCTTGTCTGTAGAGCTTTTCTATACATCTGCAGTTTGTGATCATCTCTGTGTGCCATTGGTGTCACGTGTTGCAGGCAGCATCTGCCTTTTAGACCCTCTGTGCACGACAGTGAAGGCGGCTGTCACTAAGGACAAGGAAGTGTTTCTGTCTGAAGATCATTCTCATGTCAGCTCAGCTTCATAATAATAAAACACAACAAAAAGCTCATTTATTCTGTGTTTTGTCTTCTGTACAGTCTGGCTGTTGCTGTTGGAGGCTTTCTCATTCTCCCTGTCAGACAATGTGATGAAGAAACGCCTGCTTCAGGCCAGTTTAGATACAAAGGTGACCAGAGGATGTTTGTCCAGCTGCCTGTTCTAATGGAAACCGTGGACTCTGCAAAATGTACAGATTCATGGCAATGACTGTGTTTTCTTGACCTGACATTCAGCGTAACACACTGCAGCTGAAGAAAACACAGTCAGAGGATGAAATACTGACTGACAACGCATATGCAGCACATCAGTTTAAGCTGTAAATGTGCACGTTTAGATGTGATCTGAGCCACAGCGCGGTGCACTGAGGAGCCTCCATGTGAAGCTGCAACGTCCTCTCAGAAACACACCAGCTGCCATGAAGTCAGGAGCTAAACACCACAGAGTCAGTCTGATGGAACGTCAGGTGTACGGAGACGATAAATGGAATTAAAAAAACCAAAACACTGTGAGAAACTGGACGCTTCTGATCATGCTGCTGAAATCAGGCCTACTTGTACCTCTGTGTCAGACAGACATCATATGGGCTGTGGATGTATGTGCTACAGAAACCAGTCTGCCATCTGCAGGGCAACTGCAAACAAAACCAAGGCTGTAATCCTGCAAATGATAATTCAGCCTGTGCAGCTTCTGCAGGAACAGCCGCTGCCAGTCTCCTCCTGTAAATATTTCAGGAATCTCTACTGTATCTCTGCTAACGTGGCCTCCCTCCTCCTGTTGCCAGCTTGCTGCCTGTGCGACAGCTGCCAATCCCTCCTCCCCAGGGACCAAACATTTTAGCGCTTCATAAATTCCTAATGAGCGTTCTCAAGTCACCGGCCACTTCCACCCACTGGTCGCTCAACCTGTTACGACAAACAAACAGTGCGGCGTACACATGTTTCTGCACATTTCTGGCTTCGCTCACTTCACACATGCAGGACTCAGAGGGCCAGGCCCGGAGGTGTTGAAAAGCAAACGGCTGTAGCTGTCGACAGCTACAAGACTTCAGTTTTTATCCACAGGGTTGCAAGAAAAGGCAGAGGCGCCATGACACACAGCTGTGTTGTGCAGGATTTTTTATTGATTGCCAGTTTGGCCGTGCTGAAACCTGAACATTAAGTGACTCGAGCCACCGATGGTCTGTGCAGATATTCTTCAGCTTTAATTGTTGACAGGTTCTGTCGTCCCATCACACGCATGCCTCTGCATTAATAAACACTGTGTAGCAGGCTGCTGCCTGTCTGGATGCTCATCCATCATCTGTTTGACGGTTCATTTAGAATTTGATTCGTAATAACTGTAAATCTTTTATTTCTTACTTTTATTGTCATTTCTTTCTCACAATGATGTGAGAAAAGAGCTGTAACACAGCAGCATAAATACACAGCAAAGCAACAGCAAACAGGCCAAACTCATCAGATACAGGCACAATAAATAATTTAGAATTGCTCTCCACCCGTAATGACACGTGGAGAACTTCTCAGGGGTTAATTTACGGCCATGTAATCACACTGAGTAACAGCTTGTCAGTGGTTTTTTCAAGTAGCAAAATCTGCTATCAAGAAGCTCATAAAATCTCAGCATCTGTTATGAATAGCAGGAGCTCCACTCTTTTATGTGGACGACTGCTTCAGCAGCTAATCTGCCTCCAACGCCGGCGGACTGGCTCTCGCCATCTGCATACATTTCGAATGATGATCTCCAGCAAAATCAGGAATATCTGTTATCGGGATGTTATTTGACTCTTTTCACGCAGATTCATTATCCGTACTGTAAACCACAACAGACAGCACAATGTGAGGACTGAAGCCTGGGTGAGAGTCGACTGAGGGACATTGTGTGACAGTTCTTTACAAACTTGACTTAGTTTCTACAACACGAGGAAGCACAGGTGGAGGACAGTTTTCTAGCAGAAGCTATTGAGAAGGAAACAGGCTGTTGGAGCTCCTATAATGTGGGTTTTACTACCTTTAGGTTAAGCAGGCTTCAGTGTCAGAACAACGCAGGTGAAAAACAACACAAACACACTGGATGGACTCTAGATGGAACTCCTCTGTGTGCTGGTTCATATCCAAACACTAGATTCATATTATTCCCTCCCCAGCAGAGGAACTTGCTGCTATAATGGCACATCCAAGGATCAGCGTCTACATGACAGCAAACCACCATCATGCAGCCTTTGGTCTGAGTTTAAAACATGACTGAGTGATGAGAGGAGGAGACGAAAGGCGTCTCATAACCGCTTTTGTCTCAATCCGCTTTGCACCAACTCATAAAAAATTGAGACCCGACCACCTCCTCCACCACCACCCATTTCTGGGTGACTGATTTCTTAAGATGAGAAAGCTTGATGGACGCAAAACCCTGCCAGATCCCAACAGTTCAGCCAGATACAGTGGGAGTGCATTTATTTTTCAGTGCAGGGCCGAGGCTGAGTGGGGAGGTGGGAAAGCTGGAAGCACTCAGACAGCGACACGCAGGCCGCTATTAGCACAGAGACAGAAAGAAAATGTAAAGAACCGGGAGAAGAACGGGAGGTCAGAGGGACGCTCCATCTGGTCCTTCACAGCCTCCTTCAGATTCATTCTCCCTCCTCTGCTCTGCTTTCTGTTTGTCTCTAACCTTCATCTCTCCTTCACACTCCTCTGACCCTGCCTCTCTCAGTCACATCTGCTCCACCTCTACAGAAGAAAACAAACAAAGCAATGCGTGAAGCCGGCATTCCTCCTGATGACTGTTTATCATCCACTGGACCTTCCAGAACACACTCTGCTGTGTCCTGAGCACTGAGCAAAGAGGACTGTTAGCTTAAAACCATCCTCCTTTACTAACCCACTTGGACCACTCGGCTAGTGATGCATCTGAATCAACTTGTTCCTGCACACATCTACTCGCTCTGACTCTTCACTGAGAATTATCTAATATAGCACAAATTACATAAACATATTTTTTATTTTGGGGGCATATTATTTGAATATTCAGTTGTAAATTAACAGCCCAAGACAATTTATCATAATGCATGCTTGCAAGCGAAGGAGACAGTACGTGGGAGGCTGTTGGCTGTCATCAAGCGTGTTTGTGTTCACCACCGTTAAATAATAATCTCATTAACGGCTGTCATGCAATAGTAAGATGTAACACATACAAATGCGCATCTCACAGATATGTAGCACGTTGTTTCTGCAGAGGGATGAAGCACACTTTTAAAGCTTTATTGATAATAGTGGGAACACATGAGTAAGATCAAAACAGGAGCTAGCCCAATCTTGAAACGGGAGATGAAAGATTTATGGGACCCTATCGACAGTCAGTCAGCCGTCAGCCTGCTTGCTAGATAAAGGCTGCAGGCTGCAGCAACACTTTGGTCTGCATCTCCCAGGATTTCTGTCCCTGTTGATAGTGCTGCTCCTCTCAATCTCACTTTAAAATGAATAATCTGCTCAGATGCTGCAGCTGCTGATTGGATAGACCTGAAAACTATGATGGGCTGTTAACACAGCAGCTCCGCGCTGTGTCCTGGGCCACATTATGCATCTGCTTTTAAATCATACAAGTTACTGCGAACTTATTTTATATTGATATTCTTCATTTGTACAAACTGTACAAATCCTGAAATGCATTCTGTCTCAGTTCCCTTGATACAGCTTTGGCATACACACACATAGCATCACAATATGATGCTGAAGGAGCACCGAGCCACCCCCACGCCGTCATGCCCACACACACACATG